ATTTTTTATTATTTTATTTTATTGTATTTTATTTTGTTTTTCTCTCGATTCCTGAACTCTGCCTTTTGCTGTGCATTGAGGGACTTTGCCTGGAGGCAGAAAGAGTTAATGCAGAAATAGATGGCAGATTAGTCTGGGACAGTCTGTGATTTGGAGTGAGAGAAGTATCCCAAATAGCTGGCTAGCTGCCAGCAGGATAAACGGTTTGGAAATGGTATCAACAGAGCAGGGGGGTTCTCCAGAGCAGCTCTGGGTGAGGATTATGTGTCAATGCACTGCCGTACTATTTAGTATAACAGACATACCCAAAGTGCCTTTAGTTTATAAAAAGAAAAATGATTAGCAAACACATATTTTCTCCCTGGGCTGTTAATAAATTGAATAAGAAACTCCTCTTTTCCTTCCCTCCAACATTATATGTGTAAAAAATAGGGAAAAATATTTTGATTAGAACATTTCCACTTCCTTTTCTTTTCTTTTCTCAGTCGCTGTTTTCCATCCAGCTGCTGAGCTGATGACAAGTGTGGAAGGGCTGTGAGAAGGGAGATCTTCTGAAAATCAGGCACATTTCTATGGGAGTTGAATGATTCAAAATTGAGTTCTACATAATTCATCAGGGATCTCTTGCAATACAAACAATAAGTCTGTCAAGTAGTGGTACAGTCGAAGAGGTTATTTCCGTCTTAAGTCTCCTGGGCACAGCTGGTAGGATGTTTAAAGAGGGAGAAATTACGAATCAGGATACCATGATTGAGCTCCCCGCAATAACTCTGTGTTTTGGTTTTGTAGGTATATACAAGTACTTCTGTAGATACATGAAATTTTACTGAACGTTTGACTTGTGCATTTTAATTATCACAAGCAATTAAAAGCTCCTTTTTTTTTTTTTTTACCAGCCATTCAGTGACCTAGATGACATGAGTGAATGGCCTCGGTCCATTTCACTTTGAACAAGGAACCACACTGAAAATATTGCCATTACGTTCGACTTCCTTGCTGGCAGTCTCTACTGGGAGGAGAAGGACTGAAAGGGTTAGAACAGCCAACTTTCGTTCAAGCCCTTCCTTCTGGAAAATTTTCCGCTGTTGCTAATATGAGCCAGAGCAACACCAAGAGCATTAGTGAAGGCATAATGTTGGGGCAGCCGTAACTGCTGGGGTTGTTAAAACCTGCTGCTTTCTCTGCCGGGAGCGACCTGGAGCTGTGTCTACCCTGGCATACTCGGTATTGCTTGAGTGGAGCTCTACAAGTGGGAAAGGCTCCAGACAAAAGGCCAGTGTTGACATAGTTGTGGTCTCTTCAGGCCATGGTTGAGACACATCACTGGGGTGGTATGAGGGGAAGTTTCCATTAAGCATTGTTCCCAGCTTGCTTCCACCACCACCACCGTGGAGTTCTGCAGCTGGATTTCCAAAAGAGCTCGATACTGAAGAGCTCTCATTTCAGCAACTTAAATAGAGGGGCTAAGTTCTTTCCAAAACACTTGGCAATCATCAGCCCCCATTGAGAACAAAGCTAAGTGCATTAAACAGCCCAGCCACTTCACTGTTGTGAAAATTTGGCCGCTGTCGTGAGTGCAGTGTTTAAATAATACAGAGACTGGCAGCAAAGGCATCTGGCTCCTGATGGAGCAGAGAGGGGCTTTACCTTCACCTGGCCTTGCTGGCTGGCACTGGAGGCTTCCTCCTTGGCTGATTGCTTGCACATCGCAGCCTCTGACCAGCTCTCTCTCTGGATGTTGTGACAGCTGTGAAGCTTGCTGATGTGAGGATTAGTCGGCTGCTAGGCACATGACGTTCAGATTGCTGTTCTTATTTGACCTACCTCTGATTGCGAGGAATTTAGTGCATAAAAATAACACCCTGAACAAATTTGGCAGAAGGATGCACAGCTAAAGTGCCATGCACACAGGGGGAGAGGAGGCTGGAGAGCAGTGTAACGTGAGGCCACATACTGTACTGGTGCAGTAACACCAGTGCCAAGTCCGGCGCAGCCCACACCGTCGTCTTGGGTTACGAGGAGTTCCAGCACCACATAGATGCAATGGCCATTAGCCAGTAAACTAACGAAGACAGGTTCCTGGCTGGTATTATTGGCAAAACTTGATAGAATAAATAAAAAGATACAAAGTGCCAGGAGTTGCCTAATGTAAAACACTGGACAAGGAAATACTGGTTTCTCTGCCTGGGATTTCATACACCCTCATTAACTCTCCTGTGCTCAGTGAAGTTCCTGATAATTCGCAGAGGGCACCACAACGGGGGAGCAAGCGCAGCCTGGCAGAGGTGTGTGGGTGGTGGGAGCATGTGAGTGCCGTACAGCACAACGGGCTTCAGCCTCCTCGGTGGCAATGTTCAGCTCTGTGCGTTATTTTCTCAGGCTTTGCATTAGTGAAAGCAGTCACCTTGGATGAGCCTTGCTCTGGCAGCTGGGACGTCTCTGGTTGCTGCAGGACCAGGGCTTTAGTGTTGAGGGCTTCTTAGACTGGGCAAAGGGAAACGGGTGCAGGTAGGGAACAAGGCAGGTCAGGATTACTGGAGGTTCTTCTTCCAGATCACCTGGAGTGCAGCACTCCAGGTGATCCAGGTGCAGCACTTTATTGGGTTTGATGTCGTTTCGTTTTTTTGAGCTGTTGCATTTGGCAAGATGCAATACTTTGTTTTCCTGTGTTTAAAAGGATCTTTTTTGCCCTTTCCTTCTTCAGAGAGATATTGTAAAATTTCTTGAGACCACTGATTACAAACCTCATATAATTACATAATATGGCCCATTAGAGATAAATGACAATACGTGAGCTGATACCATGTACCTAGAACTTCAGCTATATTTAAATACCGGCTTTTTTGTTTAGGGCAATTAGAAAGCTGAGGCAGATTGCACAATCCCTGTGATTTGTAGGAACACCCCGCGTGCTCACCAGAAATATTACGAAGTAGTCAGAGCCGGCGACTTGCTTCATTTTATCTGCATTTCAGAATTTGCAAGATTTGTACATGCACATTTCTATGTATCTGTATGCATTAAAAATAATCTGGCTGCTCTGATATAAGTGTGCTAACATTAAAGGAAGCTTTCCTGCATTTAATCCTTTAAATAAGCCTGTTTCTGCCAGCCCATGTATCTGGAATGAGATTAGCCACCCGTTCAAAGCAAGGCTACAAAAATGCCTCGGCTTCGAGAGCCTTTTGGGCTGGCTTTAAAACAGTTAATAGTCTGGATTTCCCCACACACCTTTAAAGACATAAAAACGTTTTAAACACGCACCTACGTATCATCGTTATCTCCGGGGCTAGCTGGAAAGCCTTCCCATGAAAACTTCCCTCTCCAATGAGTTTCATCACAGTGTCTGGCGCCCGGAGCCTACAGCCGGTGTTCACCTGCCAGCCGCTGGCACAGGCCATGAAAGGACCCAGGTGCCTGCACCAAGCACCAAGCACCAAACACCGAGCACTGAGCACCCAGGGCCACCCAGCGAGGCCCCTTGCCAGAAGCACGGCCAGAACCGCAGTATTTTCAGCACCCGGACCTTGGCAGCAGCGCGCCACGTCCTGCAGCAGGAGAGGAAACGCGCAGGGCTGGCACAGTGCAGGCAGACGAATTCTTTCCTCTCGCTCTCTCTCATACAGATATATATATATATATTAATCAAATAACTTTGATCCTCCTGTTTTCTTCTCCCAGGCCTTTACTAACCTTTCCTGGAAGCTGATTTTATCAGTGCTATTTTAAAATCAGAGTTACAAAAGACAAGCTCTCTGCTAGTAAGCCCCGTTTTGCGCAACGCAATTCCCTGGTGCATTTTCTGTGTGGCTCCAATATTGTTGCTGCAATCTTTTAGATTAAAATAAAAACTACATTGTTAGCACTGGCCTTGATTTGGAATTAGAAATGGCATTTAATGTTTACCATTTTACACCATAAATATTGCAGATACAGACGCAAATAAGGAAATATTACACAGTCACAGGATGTTTGTGTAGTTATTATGAAAGCCATCACATCTGTAAAGACAAAGTGAATTAGGTAGTAGCCAAAATTTTTAAAGAATATATCCTTCAATCACAATGCCCTCTTCTGAAGTCTGCGATGCTGGTACTTCTGAGGCATGTGAAAACTTCTGAAAATTCTGCCCATGGGGACAGTCTGTGTTTAGGCAGCTGACTTTAGGATCCTATTTTTGGAACCTTTGGCTGAGATTTTAAATAGGATTTTTAGTGGGAATGGTGCCTGAATTGGTGCTGTAGCACTGGGGTCTTGAAGGCTATATCGAAGATTAAAAAAAGAAAAATACGGGATATATAATGCTTTCCTGGGGGTAGGCTCCTTTTAATGAGATTTTATATATCATAAAAGAGCAATGTCACGTAAATAAGTGTTCTTCCATTTTTGCAGAGCATTTTCAAGCAGTCATTGTAGCCTTTCACGTTGCTAGTTTCCCTCACCATCTTTTAGAACATTGCCAGTAGGATTTCATAGAAAATAGTTAGCAATCTCCTTAGTGGAGTGCTTTAGCACAGCTTGACAGTACATTTTCATGAGATTTTTGTCCTATTGCAAATACTACACATTGTCAGTTTCTAGAAATCTGTGTATGAGAAAACTGGGAAGGATTACGGCGTAATGGATAAATCAGACCTAAATTACAGTACTTATGACTTGTTCCTGAGGATGTGGTCATTAGGCACAGGTTGGCATGGTAAGTCCTCTGCCTGCATTCGAGTGCAGCTCTGTTGGATTCATTGATCCTAAATGGGCATTCAAGATTGGCAACCAGAATTAGGAACCAATCTTGAAAATAATGGTGTGAGCATGTCTGGACCTGAATATACACCCTACAAAATGAGCAATGTAATACTCAGCCAGAGTAGCTACCAAAGTTGCAATGAAAGCTTAAGAATTACTGCTTGTAAATTATCTACAGAGTCTCTCAAAGTCATGTTCAGTGATACTATTTACATAGTTTCTTCTAACATAGCTGAATACCTGCTTTGTTTCTGTAGGTCAAATCTTGCCAACAAACCGAAACACACCAAGTCCCATTGATCCCGAGACTATCCAAGTTCCTGTTGGCTACGAACCTGACCCTGCAGATCTTGCTCTTTCCAGTATTCCTGGCCAGGAGATGTTTGACCCTCGTAAGCGCAAATTCTCTGAAGAAGAGCTGAAACCACAGCCGATGATTAAGAAAGCTCGCAAAGTCTTCATTCCAGATGACCTGAAGGTAAATTGGAACTGGTGACGACATTGTTTGTACACGCTCTGTGACAGTTGCTCTTTCACATACATGTTTAGAGCATGAATCTGTTTTCTCATGTAATGTAAATCTGCCATGCTAATTATGACTTTGTTGTAGAATAAAACTGCAACGCTTCTGAAGAGGACTGAGGCAAGAATGTCCCTTATATGTTAATCAACAACTGAAATTCATGAGATCAATATTAATTTCCTTTGTATGCCAGAAACTTCCTGCGTGACCTTGGACAAGCTTACTTTGTCCCATATTTCCCACTTATGAAACAGTCTGATCATGTTTCCTTTTCCTCCACTCTCTGTCTGTCTCATCAGCAGAGACTGTAAAGTCTTCAGGGAAGGATCCCTCCCTCACAGGGTGTAGTCCATGGAGGCCCCTGATAATGACAGAATGAAATACAGTTTGTCTTGTTTGGAAGTTTCTTTAGCTCTGCATGTAACAATGAATGGGAACACTACACTAAATACTATCTAAACTAGGTGAAAGGATCTTAACTAGTTGAAGGGAAGCAGACTAAAATAATTCTGCCAGTAAGCATATTTTAATACAATATTTAAAATATAATACAACAATAATGCAATAATTAAAAAAGAAAAAGCTCTTGTTTGTGTTTCTCATTGATTCTGCGATGTGAAGAACAAAGAACTTGCCAGAAGAGAGCTGAACAAATTAATCAGCTGATTCAGTTTATCAAATAACTGCAAAAATTGTCATTATTTGCCAAATTCTATTCCCTGTATGTGATTTCCAAGAGTTTTTTTTTTTTTTTAATCAGAAGTAGTCAGTGAAGAATTCTGCTATGGCCCCCCAAGATACAGACTGAAAGCCTGTTGGTGTTGGTGGGAATCTTCAGCTCTACACACAGAGTCTGGGAGGGGGTATGTATTTACACACTGATAGCATTAGGGAAGGAAGCTGATGCTCTTCACTATTTTTGAAGATAATGTGTGATCTAAAAGAGCGCACAACACCAGTAGTGTCACTATGTGGTGTCCTCAGTTTTCATTCAGAAAGATTTCTCTGCACTGTGCCATTATTTTTCAGGCAAATTTTACTGCTTCTGATGCTCTGCTGGCATTGCAGTGTACTGAGGTCTGCCTAAAGAGGGGTGTTCAGTGCAGAAACAGCTACACAGGTGTAAGGAGACTGGAGTTTGCTCCTCAGTGTCATTCATTTTGTGATACCTGCTCAGTGCCAAAGCAAGCTTTTGCCAAAAGTGCCCTTGGACTGCTTCATACCAGATGTGGAAAATGTCTGTCTTGCATGCAGCAATGGAGCACCCAAGTTCTCAGCCTAAGACTGAAAGGGTTCAGTTCAGGGTCCCTCTCTTCTCTGAGATACTTGCATCAGATGCCCTTGACGCAGTTCAGAGTGCTTGACCCAAGCGCTGCTTCTGCCCTGGCGTGTGGAATGGCTGTTGAGTTCTCGGGGCGGGTAAGCAGATTAGACCAGTCAATCGTCTCTGGGTTGCATGTGATTTTGAAATGCCAGCCTTACCTCTTTCGGGTCTGGATTAAGGGATTTGCCATAGCAATTTGTTAAAATAAAGATGGATGAAGCCTAGGTGGCACACTAATAAATTGCTTAAAGCTGATTTTTTGGAGTGGAGTGAGATGGGAAATTATAAACAAGATTTAGGTCATAGCTTTTTGCTGCATGCTTGTTTTTAAGCTGATTTTTTTGGGGGTGGTCCCAAGTGCAGGTGAAAAGCAATTTAGAGATGCACTGACTCCAAATCATCTTTGCTGCACACCTCACAAAGCTAAACTAGTATGAAGCTGTTGTAGAGTACTTGTAGCAGTCGTTTTGCTCTTGCTTTGCCTTGTGCAAGCAGCAGCAGAAGCTGCAGAGCAGCAGCATTAGGCCTGGCTTGTTTCCTGCAGAAGGATGAGTGGGGGGATTTCCCTGCTCAGTGCAGTGCAGTACCAGATGGCTCCTGTTTCTCACCCTGGATATGTGGCTGTGCTGTGGTGCTTGATGAAGCAAGGGCTGCCCTCAGACCGTAAGCAAATGTAAGCGTATAAAAATGGAGGGGTGACTCTGGGAGGGCAAGTTTGAGCTGAACAGCTCGACCAGGCAGTCTGAGTGTTGAGTGACTCTATCACTCTGCAGGGGATGGAATTTCCCTTTTCCTGAGACACTCTGCCCACTTCGTTTTTAGTGAGTTTCCAAATTTCTAGGGCTTAATTTTCACAGCAGTGCAGAAGCTGCCATGTCACTGAAGGCCATTTCATTAGAAGAGCCAGAAAATCAAGTGAAATTAAGTAGTGACTTACAGTCTTTGATGCACAAATGCAACTAAGGTGATATCCTAGAGACAAAGCTTTAAGGACAACACTTTGGGAATATGTTAGCTTATGAAACTTTAGAGATGAGTGGACCTATTTCTGGCAAATGCTTTTTTCTTCACTGTCAAAGCCTATTGTACTAATCTCTTTGTGTATGGTACCAAAGCAGCCGTCCTTGTTTTGCCATTCCTGAATTGGCTGCAAAGCTGTGCCAAGGGATCCTCTTCCAGTGACTTGCTGTTCTAGAGTGCAAACGTGAACCCTTTGGGGTGTTGTAGGGAAAGAGCCGAATGACAGAGGACATGGATGGTTCCAACAAGCAGAGTGAACCAGGTGTTGGCTGGCAAAACAGATGAGCCGGGACATACAAGAAGTAATTAGTACTGCTCCAGCAACCGGTAGCATGAGTCATCACACGTGAAGGTGGATGTGCCAACTGTAACTAGGTCAGCGGAGATGTGCGAGGGGTTGTACTGCTGGAATAGCGCTTCGGTTGCGCTTGGAGTTTATGCTCAAGAGGATGAGCCCCTTTCATTCTGGCAGAAATACAGGCAGGTCTCTGCACTCCCTGCCTGGGTTATGCCGTGTAAATCTGTAACTTCTGTCCCAGCAGTGCCTGGTGTTGTCGGGGCTCGTAGGCCTCGCAAACAAAATAGGGCCTGGCCAGCAAAATCCATGGTGTTAAGTCATGCCCAGCCCCGAGGCTGTGGCCGAGAGCACATCCTGCTGGCTGCTCAGTTTACTGAAATCTAATATCTTATTTGTTTCCTTCTGTGTTTAATGAGCAGGATGACAAATACTGGGCAAGGCGCAGAAAGAACAACATGGCTGCGAAGCGGTCGAGGGATGCCCGCAGGCTGAAGGAGAACCAGATCGCCATCCGCGCCTCGTTTCTGGAGAAGGAGAACTCGGCTCTCCGCCAGGAGGTGGCCGATCTGCGGAAAGAGCTGGGCAAATGCAAGAACGTCCTTGCGAAGTACGAAGCTCGACATGGCCCCCTGTAAAGTGAAGGGAGGGGAGCGGGGTTTTTTTCTTTTTTCTTTTTTTTTTTTTCGGTTGCGGGTTGGCATTTGAATAGATGGACAATGTGTTTCCTGTTTGATAGCACCACGCCCAAACCAACCTTTCTGTCTTCAGCACTTTACCAGAAGCAGAAACAAAACTGACTTACGTTCTTTTTTTTTTGTTTGCGTATGCGTGTACCTGCGTATGTGTGCACATGTGTGTTCACACGTCTGTATATGTGTGTGCGTGTGCATGTCGTGTGTGTGTGTGCGTGCGCACGCATCTCGGCACTTCCCATTTTTATGAAGCCCTCTTCAAAGGGTGCCACATTTTTACCTGGACTGTTGAGAACCGCCATAGTAAGCTTTTTATTATATTTTTTTCAGTGCTGCTTCAGATTAGGGTTTTTATGTTATTGTAACCAGTTCCATCCTCCTGATTTACTTGGAAAGATCCCAGTATAAATTATAAAAAAAAGGAAAAAAAAAGAAAAAAGAAAAAAAAAGTAGATCTCAGTTTTTCGAGAGTAACAAGCTATTGTTTATGTCTAATCAGAAAAGTTAACGCTAATAAAGTGCACAAATAATAATTTAGTACTACACTGCAGAGTTATTAATTTATAGATTGCTTTTGTTGTATTTTAAGTTTTGGTGATAATTGTCTTCAGATTTAAAGTGCTGTTAGACTGAGTTAGCTATACTCATTATAGATCCCATAATGGCTTCTCTATAGCTATTAAGGTTCCTTTTATTTCCACAGACCCCAGGTAGATAGGAGTACTATTGATAGACCACAGCGTGTGTATTTTGCACTGTCTGTACCTGAAGCAATAATCCTATTGTACGCTAGCGCGCATGCTGCCCGGATGTTCCTAGTGGACGTAGGATGGTTTCCCTACTCAACAGAAGTTTTAATGTCTTTAACAAAAAAAAAAATTAAAAAGTAAAAGTCACATTAATGTGAGCATGCTAATTGTATCCCTGCAATGGGGAGCGCATGTATAAGAAGCAGGATAATTAGTTGAAACAACAAAATTAATAGTATCAAATCAGATCCGATGTTGAAATCAGAGGGGCTTTTCTGTTTTCAGTTAGTTATGCACTTCTTCAAGTTCCATTTTGTGATTACAAATTAAATAACCTAAATTAAGTTGTTTCTTTCCCATGTTTTGTAATATATTTTCTGTGGATTATATCTTGCTGTTTGAAAAATCACTTTTATTCAGTTAGAAGAAGTCACTGGTTTTCAAAGCCCATTTTTCCTAGTGATTGTTGTTTTGAGTGTGACATGAACTGATGGTTCTGAACTTTGTTTTAAACTCTATTTGCTTTTGAACACGTGTGTTCTAATATAAAGTGGACTTCTGAGAAATGAATGTAAGAGACACTGGTGTATTTCAGAAGGGGATGGTGTTGTCATATACTGTGGTTAATCCAATCAATCTAAGTGTTTACTATAGACCAAAAGAATAGATATTATAAAATGTATAAAGTTTATACAGAATAATTATAGTATGTTTGTTTTGTACAGTATTTTTCAAGTACAAATACTGACAATGTATTTTGAAAGACATATATTATATATAGCAAAGAGAAAAAGCTATTCCATGTTTAAAATATATAGCAAAGATATATATTCTCCATTATTGTACAGAAAGGAAATGCTTAGGGGTTTGTTGGTTGTTTTTTTTTTTTTTTAATCTTTAATATTTTAAGCCTGCCACTGGCACACCGGCATGTTCTGTGCTTTAAATTAAATTTTTATGGAAGTAACATGGCTTTCAAGGATGTTCCATATTACTGAAAAAAGAGAGACTTTATTATTTTCCATCAGAAACACATGAAGAATCTATTTAATAGGGACAAAGCACAATATGGATTTTAGTCAACTATTAATTGGACAATACAATATTTTATAAAGGCAGAAAAACAGTATATAATAAAAAACATAGTCTTTTCTAATTCTGCTGCTGCTGCTAGAATCTGTTTCCAGCTGATTTTTTTAATATATATCTCTGTTCACGTATACAGTTGTACGCACTGCGTACAGTTATTAACATGTGAGGAAAATATGGTGCTACATGTCTTGCTCACAGTTTTCTAAGTGTTTTGACATTATTTTCAAATAAAAAGGTTGTTCATTCCATTAAATAATTATTCATGCTTCAGGAGATTGTTGCGAAGGACCCAACATTTTGTTTGGCATTAAAAATATCCTCACATCAATGGCATTTTTCCAGTATTTTTCCTCAAACACACCCAACTTGTCCCTTAATGTGCAGTACTCGCCTGTGGACCATTTATTCAGTGAACTGAATTTCCATGTGCTGCAGCGAAGTTTAAAGTGTAGTAAGTTATTTTCTAGAGGTCAGTATAAACTACTGGATGCATGGGTAGAGAAACGAGGCTGACTGTTTGGTACAAGTCAGCGTATCTGCTATATCCCCTATGAAATAAACCTTGTTTTTCCTTTGGAGTAGGCTGTGTGACAGTGGGGGGCTCAGGCAGCCAGCCACTGCTATGGATACGTTTTTAGCAGCAACATAGCAAAATGCAACAGCTTCTCATCGCCCTCGCTATGAGTGTTCTTGGGGTGATGCCTGAACAGCAGAAATTAAGTATATGAAATGGGCTGGTACGTAAATAGCTAGAGCCATCAGTGTACTGCATTGTGACCACAAAATGTTCTTTAAAATATAAGAGGCAGCTTGGGAAAAAAAAAATTGCAGATGATTATTTAGTTTCTTTTGGGCATGGAAGGGGTGGGAGATGGTAGTTTTGTAGGTTGGCTATCACAGATTTATTACGTCACAGCCACAGAGGAGCAGAGGCTTCCAGCAGTGACCTCGTCCAACAGCAGCCCTGTGCCTGCTCAGAGCCCGGTGGGACGAGGCAGTGCCTGGGCACCCAGCGGGGCGTCACGAGGCTTTTGGGGGGACTTTCATAGGAGTCGGTGGGGCTTGGGCACTCACCTCTTACTGTGGGCGCTCAGTACCCAATCTCAGTTGAAGAGAAAATAAATACGGGCTAAAAACTTGAAAAAAGACGCAGGTTCTCCAACCAGGCTGTCTCCCCAGAATGGCAGTATCAAGTAAACCCAGAAAGTTTAGCTTGTTTTCAGGTCATAAGGTCAGCTTAGCTGGGATCATCACACCTCTGATGGCTTTGAAGGAGCTTGTAGGCATAAAAAAATTCTAATTTTATAAAAATAGAAATATATATATTTGCAGAATAATTACTATTGTGTCTAAATAATTCACTGACCTCTATTAAAACATAAGCATTGGTAAAATGCTTCTTTTTTTTCTTTTTCTTTTCTTTTTTTTTTCTCAAAGTCTTAGAAGTGAATTCTTTCTTTTTGAGAAGGAATGTCCTCTAAAAATAAAATGAATTCGAGATGTGTTTGTGAATATGAGCACCTTGGGACTCTGCTTGGGAAAGCATGTGGTGGAGGGTAGGGGGGAGTTATTTTTTTCCTTTTTGAATGGTGCTAAAAAGTCACTAAACCTAGCACCATGGAACTAAAGTTTTGACTTGAATCCACATAAGCAAGAAACAGAATGCAAGGGATGCACGTTAGCTCGGCTTCCTGCTTGACTTGCTCAGCCCTGCCTGCACCTAACAGCACGAACGCTGCAGTGGCAAGCTGGAGGCTAGGTGCGTTAAGCGGTGCTGAAGGACCCCAAACATTTGAGTATCTTGCCTCTGTGGGTTTGTAATAGCCCCAAATTATTGCTTTAAATCTATTTTTGCATGTGATTTATGATAGAGATGTGCAGTTTATTTTTATTTTGTTGATTTTTTTTATGTGAAGAAAGAAATATATATGTATTAAAACTTACAAGTGATCAACCATCGTATTTCTGGCAACACCACAAGACAGCATCTGTTTAAATACAAGTTTAATAAATAAGATCAAATTAACTGTATGACATGAAATGGATTGCATCCTGTATGCTGTTCAGCCCAAACCTTTTTTTTTTTTTTTTTTGGTCTGTTATTCTTAATGTTTAATAAACTTTTAAATTTTTCTTCTCTCACCTGTGTGCTTCCTTTGGTCTATCAGGGCTTGGGCCCAGGGCCTCGGGGGTGTATTTTCATTTTTTTTTTCCCCATATACCCATCTTTGAGCTCCTGTAGCTGCCATCTGTGTCCCACCATGAGCATGCAGTCATTAGGAGGGGGGTCCCCAGGTAATGGGGGGGTTCCCACCAAATGGCAAATGTACATTCTCCCCACCCCCAGCTCTGCTGTCACCAAGGCCCAGAGCAGCACCAGGGGCCCTGCTGCAAGGTGTTAATCTGGGTATAACCTCACCAAGTGTGTATTTAAATCAGGAAATGTGCTGCCCCTTGAAGTTTATGTAGTAGCATTTTCTATTTTATTTCAGTAAAATACTTATATATAATCATATAAGTATTAAAATTATATATATATAATTATACTGTGTAAGCTTTATCATATACCATATGATATATATAGATATGACTTTATACATGAGATGTGTTATAAACAGTGCACACAGTTTTTACATTCATATAAATACTGTATATTAAGCAGTCTATACATCCCTGTTCATGTGTATATGTAAAAGTTTGGGTTTCAAATGTATCTTATGCACAAAATGTACTTTAATAATTCATAAAAACATCTATATAGATAAAAGTTTAATAATTTTCATATAAGTTATTTAGCAGAATTTACTTTAAAAAGACCAGTTTTTTATATCTATATATACACATGCATAGTAGATTTTATTAATACAAAGATCCATCTATTGATCAAGATACAGAAAAAATAATGCACAAACTTTATTTGTTCCAGTACACACGTGCACATTCACACTCTATCTCACCCCTGTGTGTATGTATCCACCTATATAGCGGTATGTTCATATAGCTAAATATAGGTATAGATTCCATGGTTATATTTTCATATAGTATACTTAGTAGAATTTACTTGATTAATACAGGTTTATATATACAGCAATACATATTTACAAAGATTTTTTAAAACTGCTATAAAGGCTTGCTTTTACTACGTATGTTATGGACAATATGTGCTTGCTATACTAAATACACACATGCACTTACACTCTCACCTCCACCTCCCACTCTGTGTGTGCATTCACATGCACCCTCCCATATATATGTCTATCTACATACATATAAATTTTTCATATTGTGTGTTTAACACATTATAATAATAATTATTATAATACTACATTAATATATTTCATTACTATAAAGGTTGATTTTACTATATATGTTACATATTATGCACTAAATAGTGTATGTGCTGGCTGAAGCCCCATCCAACCTGGCCTTGAGCACTTCCAGGGAAGGGAACATCCACAACTCCTCTGGGCAGCCAGTGCCAAGGCCTCACCGCACCTTGAGTGAATAATTTATTCTTTTTATCTCATCTAAACCTACCCTTTTTAGTTTAAAGCCTTTAACCCTTGTCCTGTCACTGCACACCCCGATAAAGAGTCAGTCTCTCCTCATCTTTCCTATCGGCCCCCTTTAAATACTGGAAGGAAATATTATGTGTTATAGATGGATAATACAGACTGTAGGGCTAAATAAAACACATTTTAAATATGCATACATATGCGTATATTATATATTGTATATAAAGTATGTGTGCACACAGAAAGATGTGTACAGACACATTTGTAACAAGAATGATCCTGACCCCGCTGTGTCCCTGGTGCCATGAGGCCTGGGCCTGCCCACCCCTATGGCCGTGTTCTGCGGCCTGTGTCCTGGTTGCTTTTAACAACATCACACCCTGTGCTGCCTCTGCCAGCTGCAGTGCCCCCAGAAGCACCTCTGGCAGCCTGTTGATGGGCTGCTTCAGGTTTTTAAGCAAAAACAGGGCCTGTGCTCAGTGTGTGGCCTTTGGCCAGCGCAGCTGAATCCACACCCATGCCGGCGCAGAGGCCACATCTCCGCAATGCCCGGCTGCTGGCAGCCTGGCTCTTCCCCACAGAACTACAGCTTTGTCTGCTATTTTTAGGGGATTTCGGCCTTTTTCTGAGGAACACCTGCTACCTCAGGGTGCCACCAAGGCTCCACTTCAGCTAAAGCTGTCCTTACCGCCTCCTCCTTGCCCAGCAAGACGCATGGCACTCGACAGCCTCCTCCTCTCTGGGAAAGAGGGCATCTAAAAGCAGCGCCACGAACTAATTAATGGCTGTCGTTGAATGCAGCGAGTCTGGGGGTGGGCAGCTGAGCCCCGGGGCTGAGCTGGACATGGCCGCTGTGTGCCATCGGTTAAACCTCCTGCACCTCCAGCCCAGCACCTCGCAGCTCCCATCTGCCGGTGCCTGGTGCCCTCTGGAGGACACCGGAGACCTCACCACGGCCATGGCCAGCCGCAGCCGCCGTTTCAGGGACACAAAAGCCCCACGAAAGCACGAAATACAACGTATTTATAAAAATAGCTTCCAGAAAGAGCCCACAGGCAAGAAACTACGGCACTGTAACCTCAGCACTGAGCACTGGGTCCTGCACTGCCTTATGAAAAGAGTCCTGGCTCTGTCACACTTTGTGTTAGCTGCAGTTCAAGCCTAGTTGTGTTGCTGGGCTCAGGCAGCTTTGCTCTGCCTCTGGACACACAGGTCAGGGCTCGGCTTGCTGCATGACAAGGCTGGGCTGGGGTTTGTGTTGCCCCAGCCACCATTAGCAGGGCGCAGTGACCTGGGTGAGCTCTTCCTGCTCATCCTCTTCCCCAAAGCACATAAGATATAAAATAAATACGACTTTACCAGGAGCAAAGAACACGTCTTGGATCAGCAGCATCAACAGGGGTTGGACTCGATGATCCTTGTGGGCCCCTTCCAACTCAGGATGTTCTGTGCTTCCACGATCCTATTAACACAAGGGTGTCACTTATTTACAGTGTTTTAAGCTCTTCTTGCTGGCAAGGAGGCAATGATGGCTTTGGAGGCCTGGGGGGTCTAATGCTGACAGGGCTTAGCAGCCATTTTAGTGCCCTGCTCAGTGTGCGAGCACTCCTTGCAGCCCTGCCATCACTGGGGTACCCAAGGGTGCCCTGTAGTCTTTTTCTTTTTTTTTTTTTTTTTAACTCAAGCCCCACGTTTCATGAAACCTGTAGGAATTTAAAAGCTTTGAGAGTTTTTTAACCCTCTATTAAGCTTCTTCAGCTGCTTAAAAAGCATTACTCTGGAGGGAAATAAACAGATAGTGCATGCCTGGCAGCTGTGTTTTCCACAGCAAGACAGACCTGAAAGGAGAAAGAGAAAGAGAAGAAAAAGAAAAAGGAAAAGGAAAAGGAAAAGGAAAAGGAAAAGGAAAAGGAAAAGGAAAAGGAAAAGGAAAAGGAAAAGGAAAAGGAAAAGGAAAAAGGAAGGGGAAAAAAAAAAAAAAAAAAAGGAAAAGGAAAAAGAACAGAGCCTTAAATATGACCTCTCAGTTTCTGCTGCATTTTTGCTTTTCATTTCTACATACAACCATACTGCAAATGTGAGTGTGCATGGGAGAAATGGGAGATACCATGGGTGTGAATACAGAGCTGCATTTCACCGCCAGCTACAGAGAAGCCTCTTGAACTGCAGCTGTATCGCCACAAGCCCTCAGTCTCTGCTGCAGGGGAGCTCACAGCTCCAGAGCCGTGTGCTTGGCTGGGGATGCCAGGCCCCATCCTGCAGCACTGGACCCTGCCAGCTCCAACACAAGGGGTCACGCACGAGCCGTGCTCAGCTCCTGAGAGCTGGGCTCAGCTCCAAACCGCCTTTTTTTTTTTTTTTTTTTTTTTTTTTTTTTTTTTTTCCCCTTTTCTCTTTATGACTATCATCTCCCTAATATATTTCTCTCTCTGCGGTGCTGCAGCAGGACAAGGGACCCTGTGAAAATGTAGGGCCAGGGTCTCACCAGTCCTGGTGGTGAGGAGCTGCAGGGCCAAAGGCCAGAAAGTCACCAGTGCAGGGGGACAAAGACAGTACCACCACATCAACACTACAACTTTGTCCTGTACTCGGCCTGACAGCACTGGGACCCTCCTGAAGCACAGGCACTGTGCTCCCCGCCTTCATCTGAACCAGGAAGCCCAGGCTTCAGCAAGGCACAGAGACAAAGGAGCATTTAGCAGGAGATGGCCACGGGTGGGACGGCCACTGCCCGCTCCTGGCGCAGATGGGTCCTGAGGTCAGGTCTACAGCACCAGCTGGCACGCGACGGCCCCCTGCACGCACCCCAGGGCAGGCCTGGTAATGTGGCTTGCCTTCCTGGGCTGGTAGATGCTGGTATTGCTCACTTAATTTCTATCTAGGTTCTTGTAGCACACTTACATTAAGCACACATATATGTACATATTCTCGTATGTACATATTTGAGCTTGTGTAAGCATTTAAATACACGTGTATACAATGACTCTGCATAAGGTTCAGTTTGAGTTATACGTGCATTTTAGTGCCATAATGCAATGGTCTGTGTTGCCCAATTAGATAAGGTGGGGCATAGGGATGCTCCTTGGAAAGGGACCTTCCCATTGAGAGATGGGTCTAACTTCAAGCACTGATGCTTCAGCACAGCCTGGGACATGAACTCAAGGGCCCGAGGCCAAAGGAAAAGCAGCATAATTTAAAGCAAACAAACAGTTATATCAGATAGTTTATCTGAACTGCTTCCAAACTACACACATACTAGATGAGATAAGCACAGAGCCCCAGTGCTAATGAATCCAATCCTGCTGCCCTGTGCAGGCACAAACAGCAAGGATGTCCCCAGCAGCTGTGCCTAAGAAAGAAAACTAAGACTGACAAATAGGACCTTTAGAAAAAATCTGGGCCTCCCAGAGCTCCAGCCCACCAAGTGTGTGGGTGCCTAGCACTTTTTTTTTTTTCTCTTTTTACCCGCTGGTCAGGGTTTCCAGGCCTTTCTCCCTCAGGCCCCCACAGTGGATGACAGCCTCTCACACTGTGCTGCAGCCACCACAGATGGGATCCAAAATACCATCGCTACCAGGTACGTAGGAACACACTGCCCACTGCAGCCCTTTGGTGCTACAAAGACAA